GCCTTGATGTTTTTGATAGGTCCTCGAGGGGCTGATCTACCAACAGCTTGATGGCTCATCTCACCATTGCACATGGTTTCTAGATGTTTCTCCTCATAAATTTCCCTGCTACTAAATCCTAGAAGTCCCCTCCCTGCCCCCCTCTCTTTTGGTTTTTAATAATTTATTCTATGTGCATTTGTGTTTTGTCTGCATGTATGTGTGTGAGGGTGTCAGACTCTGGAGTTACAGACAGTTGTGAGTAGCTATGAGGGAGCTAGGAATTAAACCAGAGTCCTCTGGAAGATCAGTTAGGGTTCTTAACCACCAAGTCATCTCTCCAGCCCCTTGGCGTTGGGAAATTTAAGTACTTGTCCCTTACAGTTCTCTTCCTCCCCACCCAGCTGTAGAACTCCAGTGCTCTCAAGGTTGATCAAACAAGGTTGTTCTCATAACTTTCCGGTGTGCAGTGCCGGTGCCTTGACCCCAGGTGTGGGTGGTGCATGATTTCCTCCTATGCTTAGCCCGTCCTCTGGCTTGGGTATAAAGGCCCATTACTGTCTATAATAAAGAGCAGCAGCTTCCTCTTCACTTCTTGTGGTGTCCGATAGCTCAGCGCAGCACCTTGGGTTTAAAGACAGGGTTTCTCTGTGTTGTCCTGGAACTCACTCTGTAGACCAGGCTGGCCTTAACTGAGAGATCCACCTTCCTCTGCCTCCCAAGTGCTGGAATCAAATGCCCACGGATGTCTGCATTTAGCACCATGCTGCTTGGCCCAAGCACTAACTCAGAGACTGGATGAAGCAGCAGTACCCTGGCCCTCATTGAGATGGTGAGTTGACTTCCACAAATCCTTTCTGGGATCCGCAGTGGAAAAGTAGAAATAACCCAGGTACCAGGAGAAATGGGCTTCAAGAGAGTGTGAGGGACAGACAAGGGACCACATGACTCTGCTGGCCTTAGATGTTTGAGGGAATTTCACAGGTAGGCAAAGAAGTGAGGAAATGACCATAAATGTTCTGTGAAATGTGAAATAATCACAGAGGCACATGACGAATAAAGTTGATTAGTAAGTCTTATGCATACACCCATACACCTGTGTGAATGACACTCCACTATAGACTCTTCACAAATTTAGGACAGAAGTGATGGTTTTGCTTGGCTGAGGTGATATATAAAGTATAAGGCATCAGAGCTTCCAACTGGGCATTGTGGCACGTGCCTGGAAGATCAGGCAGGAGGATTGTGTAGTTTAGTCTATACAACAAGTTCTAGACTAGACTGGCATATATATTGATATCTTGTCTCAAGAAATTCCCTTTCTCAAAAGCCAACAAAATAAAAAGTCAAAATTATTCCTATTCTTCTTACCCCATGAGGAACACCTGGATAACTTTTTTAAAATGCAGATTCTGAGTACCTCATGGCACCAAAGGAGTCTAAGGCCAGCCTGAGATAGATATACATGACTTGTCTTAAAAACAAATAAAGACAGCCAGGCCTGGTGGCTCATGATTGTCATCCTAGCACCCAGGTGGCTGATGCAGGAAGTTCACAAGTTCAAGGCCAGCCTGGGTTACACAGAAACACCAAGGTATTTGGGATAGCAGTTGGAAAGACAGTAGTATCACTTATGATAAAGAGGTGGTAAGAAAGACAGGAACTAGCAGGTGTCCTGCTCAAAATAAGGGGGTCAAAATGGGCTTATCCTGGGGTGATGTTGAAGGAGTTGACCCAATACAGGTGTTTATGGAGACTGCTTTTCGTCTAACTCTGTATTAGTGTGACTTGCCAGGGTATGATAGCATGTATTCTGCATGGGGTTGGTGGTGACTTGAATGATCACCCCCCCCACATACATGCAGGCTCATGTTTGAATGCTTGGTCCCCAGTGGGATTAGGCGGGGTGGCCTTGTTGGAGGAGGTGTGTCACTGGGGTGGTGGGCTGTGAGGTTTCTAAAGAACTGGGTTCCCTGTGCCTCATGGTTGCCTTCTGAAAGATGTGAGCCCTCAGCTGCTGCTCCGTCTCCATGCCTGCCTGCCTGCTGCATGCTCTCCACTATGGCAGTCATGGGTCTTCAAATTAAGTGCTTTCATGCATTGCCTTGGACATGGTGTTTTAGCACAGTGATAGAAGAGTAACTAAGAAGCTGGGTGTGATGGCTCATGCCTTTAATTCCAGCACTTGGGAGGCAGATACAGGTGAATCTCTGAGTTTGAGACCAGTGTAGTCTACAAAGTGGGTCCTAGGACAGCCAGGACAACACACACAGAAACCCTGTCTCAAAAAACAAGCAAAAAAAAAAAAAAGTATGGGAGGCATGGATGTTCTTTCCTCAGCTGCATTAGTCAGAATCACAGATACACGGTAGCTACATAGAGGACATCAGTGTTGAAAATGGGGGTCTACACTGAAGCCTGCCCTAAAGGCTTGTGGTTTCACTGTTATCAGAGGCCTACTTCTCTCGTGAGGAATCAGGTCTGTGGCTAACAAAGCTTGCTAAAGCCCAGGCAAAGGATTCTGGGATGGGGTGGGCAAGGGACACGGGATGGGGCAGCTGCCTCTGGAAGCAGCCAAACTGTCCTCAGCTGCAGCAAGGATAGAGGATTAGGTGACAGTTCTCCAACCTAGCCCGGAACTAACACCCTCCTCCCCGTCCCCCAGGCACATGGTCTGCCCCTCAAGCCCGTCAAAGCTCAGAATAACTCTGAGAACCAGACAGCAGGATGGCAAGGGCTCTGCTTGGTGTCCTGCTTCTCTGGGCACTACTTGGTAGGGACAGGGGTCAGGGGAAGCCAGGCAGATCCATATACCAACCTGAAGGGACTAGGGGAAGGACAGGCCAAGGCATAGACTGAGATGGTACTTGGTTTCCAGGTACACTATTGTTGGTTTAGAAGAAACAGCACAGGAGACCTGCACAGGCCCAGGGGGTGGAAAGAAACCTTTTAGGCTGTTGTTCCATGTCTAACCCTCTTTCTTGGCATATCACAGGCAGAAGTGAGGGCAAGAATGAAGAGCTTAGCCTGTATCACCATCTCTTCGACAAGTATGACGCAGGAAGCCGGCCAGTTAGGCACCCTGAGGACACTGTTACCATCACCCTCAAGGTCACCCTAACCAACCTCATCTCTCTGGTGAGCTACCTCCCCTACCCTCTGCCTGCGCCCACTTCTAGCCCTAGCTCCTGGCTTCAGACAGACCCACTCCTCTTGTAGAACGAAAAGGAGGAGACCCTGACCACCAACGTCTGGATTGGAATTGTGAGTCAGATCTGGGAAGCAGCATGAGGGCTCCCGGTCACCCCTTTTCTTACCGGGTGGGAGATGGAGACCACACATTCTTCTGTACCCTACCTCTTAGGACTGGCAGGACTACCGACTCAACTTCAGCAAGGACGATTTTGCAGGTGTAGAAACCCTGCGGGTACCTTCAGAATTTGTATGGCTGCCAGAGATAGGTCTGGAAAACAAGTAAGGATTTGCCAAGAGGCCAGGGTCTAAGGGAAACTGTTTGGGAGGACTTGGTTGGTGGAATAGGTTCAGTACTGTTTTCAATATTATGAAAAACTTGGTCTCCACAGTATCGATGGGCAGTTTGGAGTGGCCTATGACTGCAATGTTCTGGTCAGCGAGGGAGGCTATGTGACCTGGTTGCCCCCAGCCATCTATCACAGCACCTGTGCAGTGGAGGTCACCTACTTCCCCTTCGACTGGCAGAACTGCTCTCTTGTTTTTCGGTGAGGAGTCTCACTTCAAGCAGGAGATGGAGAGGGGGCTAGAGCAGGGGACAGGGCCTGATGTGGCAGAGCGGGTGGGGTCTCTGGGAGGACTGTGCAGGTGGTGGAGTGAGGCACTGAAGTGAGTGGGAAGCTAGACCTGCGTTTGCAGTAGGCGTGCACAGGCTTCTTGGTGTCATCTTGTAGTTTTATCTCAAGTCCCAGCTACTTCTCAGGAAGACTCCGAGGTGTCAAAATCACTTGAGCCCAGGAGTTCCTTGGACAACCTGGCAAGCCCTTGTTGCAACCAAACCAGACCATAAAGGAACAGAGCTGGGAGCAGATGTGCAGTGGGAATGTGGACAAGAGTGGGGCCATAGTACCCGCCACATCCAGGCTCCCAGGGTGGGGCTAAGGAGGGTCCCCGCTTCTGGGGTGAAGCTGGGCTCTGCTTCACAGCTCCCAGACCTACAACGCTGAAGAGGTGGAGTTCATCTTTGCTGTGGACGACAGTGGCAAGACCATCGACAACATCGAAATTGACACGGAAGCTTTTACTGGTGAAGGGGTTATCCCTTTCTCCAAACCCTTTCCCAGATGAGGTCGGAGGAGGGGACTTGGGCCACACAACTGGAGCTTGCTCTTCTTGAAGTCAGTCTCAGTTGTCACACTAGGCCCCTCTCTTCACTTGAGGTTTTTCGATACCCTTACCAGGAATGGCCTCTCTACCCATACTTCCCCATGCACTTGGGCCCTGCCTGACAGCTGCACCCACCCACTCAGCCTGGAGTTGCAGGTATGCGGGCTGATTGCATCCCATGTTCTGCAGAGAATGGAGAATGGGCCATCGACTATTGCCCAGGCATGATTCGTCACTATGAGGGAGGCTCCGCAGAAGTCCCTAGAGGAACTGACATCATCTACACGCTCATCATCCGCCGGAAGCCGCTTTTCTATGTCATTAACATCATTATACCTTGTGTGCTCATTTCCGGATTAGTGCTGCTCGCTTACTTCCTGCCTGCACAGGGTAAGAGGTGACCCCCTGACTCCTAAACCCGAGGCTGGGTTCGCTCCCTGGGACGCCTCTCACAGTATGCTCCCTCTAGCCGGTGGCCAGAAATGCACGGTCTCAATCAACGTCCTGCTAGCCCAGACTGTCTTCTTGTTCCTAATTGCCCAGAAAATTCCAGAGACGTCTCTGAGCGTGCCATTGCTGGGCAGGTAACCTCAAAGTGCATCCCACAGAGATCCGCATGGAGGGCGGAACCAAAGAAGATTGGCCTAGGGGACTTGCAGTGGTCCCATTCCTGGGCTTTTTATTTGGACTCAGGGTGGGGCTGGGACAATGTAGGATTATCTGGTTCCCCGTTTTCCTCACTGCTGCTGGATGCCACCTTGAGGTCTCCTGAGTATCTCTGTTGAGAGGTCAGAATGGCTCAGTATATCCTCAATCCCACCTCCTCTGACCCGTGCCACACCCCTTATTCAGAACGCACCTGATCTCCTGGGACCCCAAGGCCCAGCTGGCGTAGGGTTTGTTGTAGGGAGGAGGTGGACCCATGCAAACCACGTCCACACAGGCACAGCCACGCCCCCTGGATCAGATACCGGACACTTGCGCTAGCTGCTGCTCCAGCTTGCCGAATCCCCTGCCCTACCGCCTGGGCTACTCGGGCCAGAGCCCTCCCCGGATCCCCAGTGTCCGGGGCTGGGCCCAGGCAGTCGTCGTCACTGCTGTCCAGTAGCTGCATCTCCTGCTGTAGCCACAGGGCTGAGATCTGCATTGGGGGCACAGGGCTAACAGTCTCTGCTTTTGCTGGCCTAGCCCTCTCCCCCTTTTCTTCCCATCCCTTAACACCCCAACCCCCTCCGGGCTGCACCTCTAACAAGGTGGCTCCAAAGCTCATGATGCTGGTCGCAGCTTCTCTTAGCACCAGTCCTAAGGTGGCCTTCTGGGCGGGCTTATCAGATTCCAGGGGCTCCTGGGACTTGAGTTCTCTGAACCTTTGCACCAGATATTCCTGAGCTGCGGCCACAGCAAGTTCCAGGGAAGACAGAAGGGGAGGCTGTAGAGCCACCTGCAGAAGCGAGGGTAGTGGAGTAGTCTGGCCACACGGAATGGGTCACAGGAGCAGGCGCTGGAGACCTCTCCAGATGCCGCCTTTGTGAGAGCCATTCCCTTACTCTCACCTCGGTGGAGCTGTGGAAGTGGTAGACCCACAGCAGGGTGTCCAAGTTGCTAGGAGTCCCCTTCATGGCCCCAACAGATGGTAGATGCAGAAGGGCGGGGACAATACTGGCCTCGTGGAGGGGTAGCAAGGGGTAGTGACTCCACCACTTGTGCGGAGTTGTTTGTGAGGTAGAATGACAGCTAGCAGCCTCTGTTTTGTGGGATGCTGTGACATCATGCCTCCTGGGTATCTCAGGTATCTTATTTTCGTCATGGTGGTTGCCACGCTCATTGTTATGAATTGCGTCATCGTGCTCAACGTGTCTTTGCGGACGCCGACGACTCATGCCACATCCCCTCGGCTTCGCCAAGTAAGCGCTGGTTGAGTGAAGGACATCCCAGGGTGGGAGGCGGGCTTGAAATTTACCTCTGCCCTGGCCATAGATTTTATTGGAGCTTCTGCCACGCCTCCTGGGCTCGAGCCCACCCCCAGAGACTGCGCAGCGAGCTGCCTCACCGGCTAGGCGTGCCTCATCTGTGGGCATTCTGCTCCGAGCAGAGGAGCTCATCCTGAAAAAGCCGAGGAGCGAGCTCGTGTTTGAGGGGCAGAGGCATCGGCACGGGGCTTGGACCGGTGAGCTCTATTCTTGGTGGGTCAAAGGCACACACTTGGGAGTTGGTGATGCTCTTTAATGACCCAGTAGTTGATGGCACTCTTTCAGCCGCCCTCTGTCAGAACCTGGGTGCCGCAGCGCCTGAAATCCGCTGTTGTGTGGATGCTGTGAACTTTGTGGCTGAGAGCACAAGGAACCAGGAAGCCAACGGAGAGGTGGGTTAGGTTGAGGGAGAGGGCGCTATGGCCCTTCCCTCCCTCCCTCCCTAGCGCTAAGCTGTGTCTCACAGGAAGTGTCCGACTGGGTGCGCATGGGGAAGGCCCTGGACAATGTCTGCTTTTGGGCTGCTTTGGTACTCTTCGGCGTCGGTTCCTGCCTCATCTTCCTTGGCGGCTACTTAAACCAAGTTCCTGACCTCCCCTACCCACCATGTATCCAACCATGAACCTGTGCGAGCACCCACTTCATCCTTCCCCCTGCAAGAAGTTGATTTTGAAAACAGGTGGACAATAAAATACCCTCTAGGACAGGGTTTGCCTTGCTTCAGCCTCACTACCTCTGGGCTCCTGTGATCCATCGAACTTACTGACAGCCAATGAGGCTTTGTTCAGGCTGTCATAGGAACACTGACCTGCCTTGCCGGAACTGGTAAAAACTAAACTCTCAAAGTATCCCACAGGGTTATGACCGAGGGAGGATGCCCTGGCCTTCTCTGTCATGTCTTCTAGGTTTCCTGGCCTCACTTCACCTCCACGAGACTTCCTCCACAGATCCTAACACCTTTCCTCCACCCTCTGCAACCCCAACTTTGAGAGAGCTCCCTGGAAAGATAGCATCTGGGATTGAGAGAAAACAATGTTGGATCTCAAAATGGTGGGAGCTGGTTGAATTGTCTTTATTAACAAACGGGTTTCCAAGGCCACTACATTGAGAAAGGATCCAGGAGGGAAGGACTACTTGCTGCTCACACTATATACAGATGCAAGCAAGGGGGAGAGGGAGGGAGCGCTGAGCTCCTTCCTCCAGGGAAGGGGAGAGGCTGGGGAAGGAGGACTGTTTTGGCTGTGGGGTCCCTCCGTTCCCTGGGACCTGGGGGGGGGAGGGGAATCATTAAAGTGCTTTCAGAAAATGAGGACATGGTCCCTGCCTCTGGAGTGGCTGGTGAACCCCCCCCCCCAGAGCCCAGGGCCCAGTGACCCCCCCCCAGAGTCTGGTACATTCAAGGGGGGAGCCGGCTCCCCTGGCGTGCAAATAAAGGGGTACAGGGCCCTGCTCAGTCAGCAGCAATGGGGTCAGGGGGTCCAAGCCCCAGCACTCTCCTCTTAAGTGGAGAAAAGGGGAGGGGCAAGTCCCACTCAGTTCCTGGTAAGGGTAAGCCGTGTCATTCACTCCCCACAAGTTGGGGACAGGCACAGTTTTGAAAACATATTGGGAGAAAGGATGGTCACGTGATCACAAAAGCTTCAGGGATCAGAGGTCACGTTCCCAGCAGGCTCCAGTGAATCAAACCAGTAAAAGCAAAAGCCCAAGGTGGGGAGGGGGTGGGGACAGGGGGCCTGGGTGGTCTGGCTGTGGGGAAGAGAGCTGGGTCCATGTGGGGGAGCCCTAGCCCAGGGCCTCGTCACCAGTTCATGATGCAGTTACGGTTCAACGTCATAAAGTAAACTTGGCTGCTTCCTCCAGAGCGGACTGAAGCAAAAAACACCTGGATGAGATAGAAAAACTATCAGCAAGGGAGGAAGTGACAAACTACAGAATGACTCAGGTTTCTCCCCACCCCAATGACAGGCAAAGGTGTTACCGGACCCGTGGGGTAAAGGCAGCAGAACCAGTGGGGGGGGGGTGTTTAGGGAGGGTGGTGGTCCAGAGGGGCTGCTTTGAGAAGGCAGAAGTACCCAGCCAGATCTGCCGAGTACAAGGTCTGGGCTCCTTTATGAACACTGCCTCACCTTATCATTCCGCTCACACAGGAACTTGAGCCTCTGGGCTCGTTTGTGCATGAAGACTCCATCTAGGTGGCCTGTCTCCACAGAGCGGATCTCAATGGCTTTCTCACCCCAGCCCATTATCTGGTTGGAGCAGATGTAGGCTGAAGGGAGAAGATGGTGGAAAGGCTGTAGGGAGGCTGTGGCCTGGTCACCTCAGGGTGGGCAGTTTGGGAGGCGGCCCTTCACGTACCCACAGAGGTGGGCATCTCTCCCCACTGCAGCACCACATCCTTGATGATCCGCCCGTAAGTGTTGACGTAGACACCCTCGTCTTCATAGCACAGGAGCATCTCCATGCCGTCAGTATTGGGCAGGAAGATGATGGCATGGGGCGTGATCTGGCTCTGGATCTAGGGAGAAGAAGGGGCTGGATGGGGTCCCCATGTCTGAGATCCAGAATGGGTTGATCCCACATTGCCCAACAGCCCTGCTAAGCTCACATGTACAGGGATGTAGATGTCATAGCTGTTCCCAGAGTCAACATCCACAGCATGGAAGCCAGCACTGGAACCATAGATGACCTTGAGCCGCTGTCCCTCCTCTACTGTCAGGTCCACCAGCAGAGGGCGGTGAGGGAGGTCAGCAAAGGACTGTGGAGGAGAGAAGGTTCAGGGAAGACAGCTGCAGGAGCAGAACCTTGGAATGCTCTAAAGGCGGAGGCTGACACTACCTTGAAGGCCATGAATTTGTGGTAGGGTTTGGGAGCCCAGGCATACACTTCCACGGAGTTCTTCAGGGCAATGACCAGGAATTTAATACGCTCATATTTCACTGGGGGCAGGAAAGAGAAGGACGCAGTGACTTCTGCTGTCAGGTGTTGATGACCTCTGTATTTAGCCCAGACCTCGTTTCTCCCTGGGCATCCTCACCAACACGGTAGTGGCCACAGCCCTCCATGTCCCCCACGGTGGTCCACCCTTGCTTCTTCTCCACCTCTGGGTCATTGTGCAGAATCTTATTCCGCAGCCAAGACAGGTAATATACCCGAAGTTTGTTCCTTTTCCCTGAGAGATGGACATACACACGTTAAAAAATCAACACTTAACTCTCATCGAAAACCCCATTACTGCTTCCCACAATGTTTGCACATCACAGGGATCGGTCAAAGCTGCTCTCCTCCCAGGCTGAAGATGACAAAGCCAGAGCTGAAGAGTGAGACCCTTGTCCCAAAACTCCACACACAAACCTGAGATGGTGATGAGCAAGTTGAGCCCTTCCAGTACATCCATTTGCTGGAAGCGCCGCCGCCCAATGAGTCCATACACTTTTCCCTGCCCACTTCGGTCCAGCAACATCAGCCCATTCTCTGTTCCCACCAGGAGATTGACCCCTGCAATAGGACAAGTCAGAGGCAGACAGGCTCTCCCCTGGTCAGGATCCCATACACCCTTTTCAGCCCTGGCTTACCCCAGAGGGCTGCACAGAGGATCTCCGAATTGAATCGCTTCTTGTACTTGCGAATCTCAGGAGTCTCACTATGAGCCCGGGTGTTGGTGGGATTCACGTTGACCACAGAGCCCTTCCTCACATCAAACTGCAGCTGATCAAGACGACCACCCTCTCCACCTACTAGGGCTGCCAAGATGAAGGAGAAGGGTGGGCTGAGCCCTCCAGTGTCTGTTTTATTCCAATGCCCCTACATCTGATCTTGGGACTTCAGAACAGAGGTGCACAAAGAGATTAAAAAAACCCTGCCTGGCCTTATGGGCAAGGCCTGGCTCAAATCCCACCTCTGTCACTCAATAATTCAACTTTTGCCCAGTTCCCTTAGCCACCCTGAGCAACTAACTGCCCCTGGGCTTTAAGCCCTTCCTTGTTATCAGTGCCTGAGCAAGGACTAAGCCTCAAAAAAGAGGCCTGTGCCACTTTAATCCCAGCATTCAGGAGGCAGAGGCAGGTGGGTCTCTGTGAGTTCAAGGCCAGCATGGTCTACGGAGCGAGTTCTAGGACAGCCAGAGCTGTTACACAGAGAAACCCTGTCTTGAAAAACAAAGACACATTTAAATTCTTATTTTCTTTTCTATGTGTGCAGGTATTCATGGAGGCCAGAAGAGGCATCAGATTCCCTGGACCTGAAGTTACAGGAGGTTGTGAGGTATCTGATGTGAATATTGGGAACCAAACTTGGGTCCTCTAGAGGAGTAGCAACCACTGAACTACCTTTTCAGCTTATATTCTGTAAAGCTACATTCCCAAAGAACTTCATTCAGGCTAGCTCTGGACAACAGCCTCAAGGCAGACAGACCCTGCTGTCCTCACCTGTGATAGGGATGGTATCTCCACTGCCTCCAGGCTGGTAGATCCCCAGATCCACAAACATGGTGAATGAGCTCTTCCCAGGGGCCTTTACCAACCCACGAGACTGGTACTGTGGGGGGGGGGGGAGGGAACAGTCAATAAACAGGTGTGGCTCTGGCTTGTGGCCCTGTTCTTGATTGGGTCAGACCTCAGGCCCCTACTGAGGAGTTGACAGTGCCTTGCTTCACATACCCCAGTGTTCCTACTACCCTGCTGTTCTGCAA